TTTCAGTTGCTATTGTACTCGCTGATTACAGCGAACAGGGCCTTCTATACACTTCCTGCTGTATTCGCTGATTACAGCGAGCAGGACCTTCTATGCAGTTGCTGCTGTAATCGCCGATCACAGCGAGCGGGGCCCTGTTTTCAATTGCTGCTGTATTCGGTGACCACAACGAACAGGGCCTTGCTTACACTTGCTATAGTATTCACCGATCACAATGATTAGAGTCCTGGTTTCACTTGTTGCTATACTTCCTGAACACAGTGAATAAGAGTCTTGTATGGGCGTGCGATTGACGGGCATTACGAACCTTGCACACTTTGCTGGTCGCTGAGGACCTCCGAAGCGGGGGCAGTGAAGTGACATGCGCTGTACCCCTTGGCTTCAGCGCACAGTAAAGGCCCCTCCCCGGGTTTCCTCACAACGTGTCGATTTCTTTAATGGATCGACACGAGGAGCACTTCCTTCTATGCCACTTACCGTTCAATTGTGTGCGGGCGTTATCCAGCGTGGCAACACTGCTCTTCTACTAGTTCCTTAGATTGGACTCCTGGACGATTCAAGGACGGGATCTTTCTCGTGCCGTTGCCGCGACACGCATCCATTCCCTGTTGCATCAGTAATTAATCGGGAGGGGAAAAGGGAGCTGGTGCATGGCGGCATGGCGGGGTGGAGGGTTTATGGGCAAGGGGGGCAGGAGACTTCCCATTCCGGCTGCAGTCTCCGGATGCTCTTGGTAACGAACAATGCGGTGAAAGCGGAACAAGCGATTGCCAGTGCGAGGGAGGGATGTGAGATAATCAGGATAGAGGGTAGTGAGAGTCCGGAAGAGTGCCGCGCGGAAACGATCTCGATCATCGCATGCGGGGATGGTCCCCGTTACCATGCAGTAAACCTCGATCATGTTGTGGCCTCGCCACGCGGTACTGAGGAGCAGTACATGGAGGCAGAAGGCCGGGACGGCGCATCGAATGGAGGGGTGGGGGTGCACCACTATAGCGAGGTGAGCAGCGTAGAAGTGGCGGAAGGTGTCGCGAGGGAACGGATTGGAGAGGAAGGTGATGGGGGTGGTGAGCTGGCGGAGGGGGAGGTAGTCAAGGGGACAGCGAGATGGTGATCGGGGACGAAGACCGATCGGCCGTATCGGTACGTCAGCGAACTGGGGGACGGGTTGAGGAGGGGGATCGGCTTCGTCTCCGCGCTAATGGGGTCGGAGTCGTGGCCGCAAGGTCGCCATCTTCAGGCCGGGGCGGTTCCGGATCTCAGTTCGGATCGTCGTGAATCTGCGGACTCGCCGCGCTTGCGAGCTCTAGCTCCTTCCCGGCCACAATCTCTTTTCTTTTGCGGGCCGCTTCTAGATCTTAAACCTCTGTACCCGTACGCAGCGCTTCTTCTGGCACGGCTTCCCACTCCGATCCAGCAGGCTCTTCGTCGTGCTCCTTTTCCCCTTCCTCGCTTTCTTCTTCTTCTTCGCTCTGTTCCCCTTCGCTATGCTCGCTATAGCTTCCTTCTTCGGGGGTCTCGTCTTCCTCGCCGAGCTCTTCGTCGCTGTTCCCGCCTTCTTCCAACCCGTCGTCGTCTTCGTCACTCCCGGGACTCTCTTCCTCCTCCTCTTCTTCTCGGATGGCCGCAAGCTGTTCCGGCGTAGGATGCCTGAAGAAGGCAGGATCGCGAGCCGTCCGGGGATCTAGGTATTGTTGCTGCGACGGCGGGATGCGCTCTGCAGCTCCTTTTACGCAAGCCGATCACTGGAGATAAGATGTCAATGTGCGAGAAAGTACGTGGGGAACTGGATGCTCGTCGTCTTGCGAGATGATGTCGAGAGGGAGATCGTCCGCCAGCTGTGCTACCGGAATCGTGAGCTCTTTCGTGATGAGATCCTGATGACTGGGCCGCACCGTACCGAATAGAAACGCGAGAAGCTCTCTCTCCACGTTGGTTCGCCAGGCCTGGACGAACAGCAACTCCAGGCGCTCTATGCAAGGCGAGTGCGCTTCGTCCTCAATCCACGTCAGCCGTACTTCCACAAGACACAGCGAAAGTTCGATGAAGTCTTCGCGCCACAGGACCCAATGGGGAGGATGGATATCGGGGACAGCGAGGGGCTTTAGACAGTAGGAAAGGCAAGGATGGATATCGGACTGCTAGAAGGTGGGGAAGGTGGAGGGGAGATAAAAAACGGAGATCGGAGAGAGACTCATTGGGGACGCGAGAAGGGAACGAGGATAGGGATGTCTGCTAGCGGCTCGCGTTGATACATCCGACGGCCATCGTACTCGATCGCTCGTGTTGTTGCGAGTGTATCTCCGGGACGAGCCAGAAGCTGGGTCCACTCGACGACCAGGTCGTTCGCCCACGCGCGCAGCGATGCCTTCACCGCCGAATGTCGCAAAGGAAGAAGTGTGGAGAGATCGCCACTGAAGTTGATGACGACCGATATGCGACTGACACTTGGCACCGCTCGCTGCTGAACTGCCACCGCCTCGGCCAGTACCACCGCGTCAGGCCGGCTTTCGATTCTGAATACCGCCGCTGCATACACGCCTTCCGTGCAGAAGAAGTGCGCAAGCCTCCGAAGATCTGGACTGAGGCGGGGATGATGGACTTGCCCGATCGTCAATCGATCGCGGGGAGCAAGCGATGCTGCGTTGAGGGCTCTTTCCTCCAGAAAACTCATGGCGATGGCGGAGGTGACGGGGAGGCAGATGGGGAGCAAGAGGAATAGGGAGAGGGCGGAGAGCTAGAGTCGTCGTTTTCGGCTCCCTCAGAGGGAGAGATCGAGGGAGAAGGAGACGGAGCAGAGGGGAGGAGGCGAAGATAGGACACGTGGCGTGTGATCGGACGAGCCGACCGACTGCCGGAGACTTCAGGGGCGAGGCGCACGGTGTCCACGCCGTTGGGGCCGAGTTCGATCACCCGATATCGCCCGAAGAATCGTGGCGCTAGCTTACCCTGGCGAGCACATTTCCTCACCTGCACCACGTCCCCCAATTTGTACTGGGGCCGCGGACTCGCATTCCCGTTTCGGGCCTCGTAGCTCCGGACCTGTCGGCCCTGGGCTAGTTCGGTCATTTTCTGTCGCTTTTGGGCTAGCCTGGGCAGCGACCATTCCATTAACTCTAGGTGCCGTTTGGCCTTGTCCCGAGCCGTAGCCCTAGTGGGCCGTCGGTTCAACGTAGACTCATCCGGGAGGCTTGGTATCGAAACGCAAGCGACACTATTGGTCCTTAATTGGAAGGGGCTCAACCCCGTTGATTCGTGGGGCGTTCCGCGATGGACCGCCAAGATGTGATCGACGATATCGGGCCAGGGTCTCGGATCCCGTGCCGCGATGTTTCGTCGCAACGTGGTCTTTATCACCCGGTTAGCGTTTTTGACCAGCCCGTTAGATTGTGACATGTGGGGTGCAGTGTTTCGTATGGCGACGCCATGTAGGACCAGATTCCTTAATACCTCTCCCCTGAATTCAGCCCCGTTGTCGGTCAGGATCTCTTCGGTATCCTGTTGCATCCCGAGTAAACGGTTGACATATCGCGCGATCTCCATGGCTTGTCGCGTGCGACAAGGATACACCTCGATCCATTTTGAGAAATGGTCGACAAATACCAACAGGACTGAATATTCGCAACTATTAGGGTCAGGGGGCACTACTATCTCAGTAGTATCCATGCTTACTCTTTGAAATGGCTGATCAACAACAATAGGCACTATCGACCTTGGTGGCTGAATCGGCGCTTTATCAGCGGCACAGACTTGACAGTTGGCGATGATGTACTTCACATCGTCGCGGATATTGAACCAGTACCACCCATTTTTGTCGATAGCGAAGTCCGTGATTCGTACAGCAAAATGAGCCGCCGTTTCCTCGTGGGCCGTCTTTACCCAGTCATACCGCATGAACGGATGCGGCACTACCATCCAAATCCCACTGCCGTCCGTTTTCCGTTTTTCTAATCTCCCCTCTATCCACCTGTAATCCTGAGCCCTTTCGTTGGCCCTCCTCCGATCTTCCTTAGTGAAATCCTGGAGGGGGTTGCCAACCAAGGTGGCAATCAAGGCGATAGCAGTCCATACTTCGGCCCTTCTAAACTTCCGGGTTTTTTCCAGGCCCTCTGACGTGGCGTCCAAAAAGCGAGCCTCGGTCGGAATCTTCTCGGTCGGAATCTTGTCGGTCCGGCACAAGGGGCACAACCACGGTTTACTATCGTTTCGGTATTGGATGCACGAGCCATGGGCTCGTGCGACGCACTGTGGACAATCTATCCAATCGACATACCTTTCCCCGTTAGGACACGTGGAGACCGAGTGTACGCGGGAGATGGCTTGCTAAATTTGTCAGTCAGGGAGAGGAGAGACGAAGAGGAAGGGGGGGAAGAGTGGTAGTGGGGTTACCTCCGTCACCCATCGCCACCGTTTTGCTTCTTGCCACGTGGGAGGACTGCCACTTGTCCGTACTTAGGCTCGTTGGTCAGGTCCGGCTCCTTCCAAGGTGTAATTTCCTCGCCCTTGGGTACCTTGGCAGGCCGATGCAGGCGTGTCAACCCGTCCGCGTTGCCGTGTCGCTCCGTCTTTCAATGGACGATATCGAAGTCGTATTCTTGTAGTCGCACCGCCCAACGACCAATCATGCCCGTGTAGTTGGTGAGCTTCTTCAAAGCTAGAAGAGGCTCGTGATCCGTCACGAGGCGAAACTTCTGCCCGTAGAGATATGGATGGAAGTGCTGGATTTCCCAGACCACTGCATAGCATTCGCCTTGAGGTGCTTAGTCGTTCCTTTGTTCGTCCGGCACGGTTCGTGACGCGTACTCGATGACGTGTTCCCGACCATCGTTCCCCTTCTGCGCTAGAATAGCGGAAATAACTTCCGGTTGCCAGTCTGTGATGAGAATGAACTGCTTCGAGGGGTCCAGTCGAATCAAAATAGGGGCCGTCGCCAGAGTGTCCTTGAGGGTTGCAAAGGCCTGCTGGCACTCCGCGTCCCAGCTGAGAGGCTGGTCCTTCCGTAACAGATTCGTTAGTGGTCGTGCAATCACGGCAAAGCCCTTGATGAAGCGCCGGTAGTACGACGCCAGTCCCAAGAAGGCTCGAACCTGCGTCAGTGACGTGGGAACCGGAGTTTCCTTCACCGCCGCAACTTTTCTCGAGTCTGGCCGCAATCCTCCACGTGTCACAACATAGCCTAAGAACGAAATTTCCGAGAGGAAAAATTCGCTCTTCTCAAGCGCAATCTTGAACCCAGCGTCTCTCAATGCACCCAATATCCATTCGATGTGTTGCTCGTGCCCGTGATAGGTTTCCGAATAGACCAGGATGTGGTTCATATATACGATCACACAAAAGTTAATCATTCCTTGCCTCAGCCGTGCCTTGCTGACGAAGTTCTGGAACGTCATGTTCATTGCTCGCTGAAACGTGGCCGGCGCATTGCAAATCCCCATCAGACACCGAACCCACTGCCACGTGCCCTCAAACAACACAAAGGCTGTCTTCGGCCGATCTTCTTCCCTTACCAGAATATGATGAAAGTCATGCCGAATATCAAACTTACTGAAATATTTAGCGCATCCGATCGCATCCAACATATCATCAATCCGGGGGAGGGGATACACAACTTTGATCGTGATTTCATTCAGCTTGCGATAATCAATGCAAATGCGAATCGCTCTGTTCTTCTTCGGTACTAACACTACGGGAAAGGACCAGGGTTCAATAGCGGGTTCAATCCAACCGCTGGCTTCGAACTCCCGAATTCGTTCGAGAGTCTTTTTGCGTTCAATCAAGGAATAACGATAAGGTTTGCAATGAATCGGGGAATGATTTCCTGTCTGAATTTCGTGTTGGATTACTAACGACAGCCCAATGTCAGTGTCTGACACACTAATCGCTCCTTGATATTCTGTAAGAATATCTGCAATTACCCGGTGGATTTCATCCGACACATATTGTGGGACGTGTAGTTCAAAAAGTTGGTCCCAGATCCGAACGTCAATCTGTTTCGTGTTCGCCTGTTTTGCTAAATCGGGTGGAGGCGCCGAGATGAATGAATGATCCGATCGACAGGAGAACACCGTGGCCATCATCTGAGCATCTTCTTCTCGGATTGCCACGTGTCCTTCCGGGGTAATCCCGTCACAAACATCCTGCCATGGCACTTCCTTAGTTGCGATCTTTATCCCCAGTCCGTTTGTTTCTGCTTCAAAATGCCCAGGGGGTTCCAGAGAGCTTGCTTCCGCCCCCAAGCGTAACAATCTCACTTCTTTGGTCGAGGTTAGTAAGGATTTGGATAGATCCGTAATGTCACAGTAATGCTTCTTGTCGCTGTACCGGGCGAGGAGAGGGGTGATTCCTTCGGACAGAGTTTGAGGGGGTTCCAAAGAATCGACCATCCTCGAAATATGAACGAGGGGCTCACCCAAGATCATCGCCTTGGTCCTTTGAACTTTTCGGCTTGTTAGTTGCATCGTTGTCGCTATCGTTTTGGGCGGTGGGTAACAAACACGTTGTCGTGCTAATTTCAAGATCTCTGGATCATCCGCGTCACTGCTTTCCGTATCATCTGTTGACGACTCTCCTTCTACGGATTTCTCCCAGGAGATCATGCGGAGAGTCCCTGCCATCATCGGCGAAACTCGGGGAACCGCGTTAATAGTAGTGCGAAGGGTCAATCGCATGGGTACAACGTAGGGTTTTCCTCCTTTTTTTTGGGGAGGACGATCGATCGTCGTTCGAAGTCCAGGTTTGCTCGTAACGCCACAAGAGCGGGAAGTCCGAAGAGAACGTCGTACGTATTAACATCTAGTACTACGACGTCCCCAAGCGCATGCACTTTACCCAATCGGAAAGCGACATTGGTCATTCTTCCCACGGTTTTAATTCTTTCTTCGTCGACCGAAACGAGCTGATCTTTCTCATAAAGCGTTATCAAGTCGTTTTTCCTTCCTGCCCTTTCGACCACTCTCAGTGAGATAGCCAACACAGCTGCTCCCGAATCTATAATAGCATTGTAAGGAATTCCCCAAATTTCTATATCACACTCGACGAATTTCCACGGAATTGGTTTAATCCCCAGGAAATGATCATCTTTCTGGATTAAACCTACCCGTATCGGATCCGAAGTACTTGCGGGGTTTTCTTCAGGCGCGGGGCTTTTGGTCTTCGCGTTCGGGGTTCGAGCAAGGGCGAATCGCTTTCGGTTCGCTTTGCAATGCTGCAGCACTCGCTCGTTGGCTTGCTCGGAGATCGAGAGCAGATGACCAATCGGAAGGGGAATTCGATGGTCCAAAGTTCGGATAATGTTTAATACATCGATCTCCCCTGTGACGAAGGTGGGTCCTCCCGACTCCATTTCTCCTAGGGACGGTCGCCACTCCGCCACCTCTTTTGGTTCTGGCGCTGGTCTGATTGTTCCGATCATTCCAAGCCTTGGATATCCAAGCGACACATACCGGTATTGCGGGATCAATTCGGTGGCCTCTTCCGTGGTGGCCAAGGCACTTCCCCCACTTTCTACTTCTTCCATCAGGGCTCCGACTCGTCCAGGTCCGTTGGCGATGGGGGCCGCAGCCATAGGTGCGACCCCGATACGTTGTTGCGGGGGTCGGTGGGGGCAATCACGGGCTAGATGGCTTGGTTGATGACAGGCGTAACATACATTCAAATTATTTGCGACTCCTCCGAGCGCAGGGGCCTGGGCTAATCCTTGTTGCATCGGAGGGGCCCGCACCGCAATGGGTCGCATGTTCCTCATCATGGCTTCTAGCCGAGCATTGTGCTCTCGCTGCTCCTTTTTGCTTTCCTGGATCAAGCTAATCAAGGTTTTGGTTAGTTCGAAAATGGCCGCGGATTCGTTGGATCATACAGGCGCCTCAACCGGTGGCGGAGGTAATGCCTGACGGGCAGGGGCAACATAGGAGCAGAGATGCTCGGAGTCTCACTTAGGATTACTCGTTTGGGGCCTATCTGTTCCATATAGGTGACAGGTCCTGATACGAACCCCATGTTTTCAAATTTGTTCTGTAAGGCAGCCAACTTTGCTCTGGCTCGAGCGAGCTCGGTCGAATCTCCGTCTCTAGGATAATCTTCTCCTTCCAAGAAGTTCGCCGCAAACTTCCGTTCCATTTCTTCCGCAGCAGCCATGATTTGTTGTAGCGTATTAGTGATGGGGAAAAATTGCTTTCGCAACTTTTCCCTTATCATTCGACTGCGGAGTCCGTCAATGAACAAATCTCTTCCGACTTGCTCACCTCGCTCAGTTTTTACGAACATTCTGTAGAACCTGTTTCGATATTCCGCAACGGACTTGAGCAGTTTTTACACTCGATCCTTGATCATGTACAGCGCTTGCTCAGGGTGAACATAATCGAATCGGTTCATAAAGTCTCGTTCGAAGGTCAGGAGATCCACCCATACATAGGTACTAAACCATTGATGGGCGTCTCCACCTATTCGAGCCGGAATGTTGATCTGTGCTTCGTTGTCGGTATATTGTTGGGCTCTAAGTGTGGCCAGCCATGCTCCTGCGAGATGGTGTGCGGGATCGAACAAATAGAGATCAGGTGGCGACATGGGAGCTCGTGCACGCGGGGCAGGTTGATTAGGTAGATTAGCATTTTGTTGCGGGATCGGATTTTGCACATTGGCAGCCATATTGGCTGCTCGTCGGTTAGCTGATCTGCTTCTGGTGACGATAGGGTCGCGTCTGTGCGCGTTCCAAGGGCGAGGTCGCCCACGGTTAGCCAGGTCGCCTAATTAACGTGCTATCAATCCTAAGACCCTAGCCACGTGTCGGGCTCCGATACCAACCTCACGCCCAGAGCGACTTCCTGATTGAAGTGGAGTGTGGGCCTGGAAGTGCGAAAAAGGGGTGTGCCAAGGATTTTTGGGGGAAGTGGGGGAGTCTTAGGGGTATGAACGCAAATAGGCGAACGAGGGGTACGCGCGCAAGGGTCTCACAGTCCGAAGGGGCCGGAACACTGCGGGCGACGGGTTACGGGAAAATTCCTCCGTGGTGGAGATGGTCCTGAAAAGTTAGGCCGTCGGGGGCCACCACGTGGCGCAGGCCGCC